GATGAACGGCCGGCGGACGTCCCACACGTAGATGTTGTGGTCCACCATCATGGAGCAGGTGGCCAGGTGATATCTGCGCTCCGGACGCCACTTCACCCTGGCCACCGACGCTATGGTCTGAACGCAGTAGATCTCCTTCACGCGGTTAGTCGACATGTCCCAGACTTTCACCATCTTGTCACGTCCGCCTGTGGCGAGCCAACCCCTACAAGACAGAGAAACACGTTATATATACAAAACAGAGCCAGAGAGATTGAGCTTAAAATCCAGGAGGATGAAAAATGTGTAAACTTTTACCAACTAAAATTAGGCAAAAAAAAAGTTAGCTTTTGAGTATTTATTAAGTAAAAGTTTTCATTTTGAAAAAATTATTTAGAACTTGACTATTATTATTATTACTTCCTTCTTATTTCATCTTTTTTTCATCTTCATTTAGAATTTTACAATTGTTATTATTATTTTGTAATTATTATTTCAATCTCATTTTATCTTCTTTTTTAAACTTTTCACTTTTTGTTTCATAAGTCATTAGTTAGAATGTTCTCATAATAATAATTTATTAATAATTGTATTATTACTACTATTATTATATCCCTCATTTTATTTTCCTTTTTTAAATGTTTACTTTAAGTGTAAGTTTAGAATTTGAATTTTACTATAACAACAATAATAATTAAAATTACTATTATTATAGTAAATGTTTAACCTTTTAAAAATGTTAACTTTTATTAAGTTTTGAAAGTCACTATTTAGAATTGTATTATTATTTCCTTTTCATTTTATCATCCTTTTTGAATTTTCAGTTTTCACTTTTTTCTTAAGTCATTATTTAGAATTTTACTATAATAATAATAATAGTATACTAATTATTATTATATTTTGAGCTCATATTATTATATTATATTTCTCATTTTATTTTTATTTTTTAAATGTTAATTTTTTTAAGTTTGTCATTATTTAAAATGTTATTATTATTATAATTTTAATTATTATTATTATTATTTCCTTATCATTTTATCTTTCCATTTCCATTTTATTCATTATTTTTTTGTATTTTTAATGTGCTGACCTGTGAAGCACTTGTACATGTGAAACATGTGAAAAATTTTATACAACAGTATTATTATGAATAGTTTAGTTGAGTGTGCACACACACACACACACACACACACACCTGTCCTCAGGGTGCCAGTCACAGCAGAAGACGGGTCCGGTGTGCGCGGTGAACATTCTCTCGTATCGGTCGGGTCTGCGAATGTCCCACAGCTGCACGTTTCCATTCTCGAACGAGGCCGCAAACGTGAAATAATCCTTAATACTGAACTGCACATCTCTCACGCTCTCAGACTGACCTGCAAAAACACTGCTGTTCACATTGTGTATTTCTATAACATCTGATTGAGTGTCTAAAAAGCTCCAGATGTGTTTCTCAAATTAAAGTGAACTGAAAATAGGTGCTCGGATGTTGTTCTGTGGCTTTTTAGTATGTAAACGATGTCGTGGTAAAGTCAGAGATGTTCATCTGCACATCTGTACGTACCAGAAAAGGTGCTGACGCTCTCCTTCTTGCGCAAGTCAAAACACTTCATGAATCCGTCTTGAGAGCCAGACAGCAGCATGTTGACCTCAGTGGGGTGAAAACAGACTTTATTGACCGTGCGCTTGTGCTCGGTGAACAGCTGCTCTTGTTTGTTACGGCAGGGCCGCGCCAGATTCCACGTCACCACGGCTCCGTTAGTGGCGGCGGTGGCCAGCAGGTTCTCCTCCATCTGATGCCACATGACGTCCGCACAGCTGAAGTTCAGTGAGGGTTTGCGGCCCACGCGCAGGTTCAGCCGCTCCACGAAACCATCTTCCTCCAGACCGTATATCTTGAAAATATTTCGCCCGGCAACCACCACCTGAAACATAACGTGATCAATCACAAGTTAACTGTATCTATTGACAGACTGAATATTAATATACATATTAACAATCATATATTATTTATTATTTATTTATGATTTAACGCCATGTCAGCAGCAGTGGCTATATTCATGGCAAGAGGAAACATTTCAATTTCACAATTCAATCGTATATATCATTTCAAAACAATTATATAACAATTTTGTTTGAAAATTATATATATATATATATCAATAAATAAATATGTACAAATATACAAAAACGTACATATAATAAAAAAAAAACAAGAACAAAAGTAATAAGAACAATTATATAGTCTTTCAGCTTAATGCATGACAAAAAAAATGTTAATCGTCACAGGAGAATTCTTTTTTAAAATGTCCATTAATATATTTTCTGAATAAAAAAGTTGCCTAGTCTTATTTAAAATTGGACATTCAATTAAAATGTTTTATACTCAAAAGATTTTTACACCTTTCACAAATTAAAATATATAAACATAAAATTATAAAAATATATAATAAATTATAAATAATAATAAATCAATCAATTTAATAATAAATTATACAAATTAAAATATTTCACCCAGCAAACACCACCAGAAACAAGTTGTGGTCAATCACATATTAACTGTAGCTATTTTAAATATGAATATTTATTATTTAGAATACATTTTTAATGATTATTTATTGATATTAGTCATCGACAGACCGAATATTGATTTACATATTAATAATCACATAAATGACCAAAATATATACATTTAAAATAATAATAATAAGTTAATTTATTCATAAATTACACAAATTAAAAGATTGTTAAATTATTTTAAAAAAAAAAAATATATATATATATAAAAAAAAAATATATATATATAATATATTTTTGCCTTGTGAACCATAACAGAAAAAATAGCTTGGAGTAGAAAAATCAAATTGGGCACTTTGGCTTGTGTTGTGAATATAATTTTCATCTCATTTTCACCTGCGTAGCATCCCGACACACACTGATGGCGTTGGCAGGTGCATCCAGGTGACAAAACATGGTACGGCCACCGATGGTGCTGACCCTGCTCATCTTCTCCATCTCAAACTGCAAAATCGAGAGAAACAGAGCAAACAGAGGAGGAAACACAAAGAAAGATGAGAGAGATGCTGCTGCAGCTCCTTCTCTGGCCAGCAGGTGGAGGACAGATTCATGGCGGCGATGTTATGAGCATTATTATCACTAACAATAAATGTAAAAACATACAAGAATAAAGCGAGATGTTTGTGTCCAAAGCCTGTTCTGTTGAGAAAAAAAAAACCTTGCTTATTCACAGACTCTACACTAATATTTCCCTATGGGGAAAAGAGGGCAGAAACAGCAAACACATTCCATTACTGAGCTGACAATTTCCCAATCACATCAAATATGAATAATCATATGATTCACTATAGATTGTATTCGAATGAGTAAATCACTGGATGTTTTTCCAAATAGTTTAGTTGTGGTAAATGGACAAACATCTAAGGGAATATGAATGCTTTTGCAACACAGCTCTTCTTTGTTTTTGTTTTTTCATCTCACCGTCTGTGTTTCTCGCTCACATCTTCATACGGAATTACACACCGACCTGCAAAACAGAAACAAGACAGCAGAGAAGCCATATCAATAATACAACACAACATCAGAGAACATGTTAGCAAAAAATAAATTAATTAAGTGAAATGTAAAAGTGATATATAGAGTTTATTATTAATATTATTATTATTGTCTATAGATAGACAAATAGATACAATATAGACACAATAGATATTGTTGCTATTATTATATTTATTATTCAGTGGTGTAAAGTATTTGAGTAAATGTAATTAATTACTGTACTTGAGTATCGTTTTGGATACTCTGTTTTACCGAGTATCAAAGATATTAGCAACTTTTACGCTCTACAGTATCTGTACTCTTTACTCCACTATATTTGTAATGAGTGTTTACATTTTGCATGGCACCTAGCTTTTTCTGCAAGCAGTTTATTTCTGCTACAAAAGAAGTGATATCGCATCTACAGGACACTGAAAGTACTAGATCTCGTGTGTTTTGCCCTTACTCACACAAACTTGCGAGTTCCTTAGCGATGGCAATGAGGCTCAAACAAGGTCATCCAGTGCAAGAATGCATGGACTTTGAATTTTACTTAACATTATTTTTTTCACTATTCTCCTGTATTCTTATACTGTTATTATTGTAAAAGTTCAATAAACAAATAAAGCAACAAAAACAAAAAAAATTACTTAATTTTATTTATCCGTTATAATGAAGAGACCTTTTTGAAGGATTTCTTTTGAGGTGTTCAGTTTTATTTTGGTTTTAGAAAATAAATATATGATTGCTCTCCTCGTGTCTCTTTGACTAGTGCATCTTTGAGCCTATATTTAGTGCAAGTAAAATACTTAAGTACTGATCAAATCAGATACTCTTTACTCAAGTCGTTTGGTAATTGGTGGCTTGTAACTTCTAATGGAGTCATTTTCACTGTAAGGTATCTGTACTTTTACTCGAGTATGATTTTCAGGTGCTCTTTACACCTCTGCTGTGTAAATTGTATCTGCTGTCGGCCTGCAATTTGGGTTTATAAATATTATTTCCTTATTATATTAAGAAAATGAACGCAGTGTTTTGTCTGTTATTGTAATGCACGGAAAGACCAATTAAATGCAATGATTTTATATAAGGGTTTGGAACAATTCATATTCACCTTAAGCATACTAGCCGATTGGTGCTTAAAATGTAATATATTTAGCAACACAATGATATTACAGCTGTATCCTCTTATGCCTAGAATATTATTATGTGTGCTGTAAGTTAGTGTTTCAGTCACGTGCCACAACAAACCTGCTTTAAAACAGCTCAGTGCAGCAGTAATAACTCATGCAGCACGAGTCCATAATACAGCCTATCACGTTTCCGAGCATGAATGTTCAACTGTAATATGAGTTTAGATATTAGTGAAATAACCGCGCAGAACTTACCCTTTTAAAAACAAACGCGTCCGTTCAGGAGAAAGCGGATGTAGAATCATTGTTTACGCTCGCGGCTGACGTCACCTCCCGTCGCGTGGCGCGCAGCAGGTCAGGAGAGCAGCGAGATCTTGAAAGTTCACACAACAGGATATTTATCATAACACATCCTGGTATGATAATATGCGGCTGTCTCGCTTTCTTCAATTGTTTGTAAGTGTTGTAAACTCTCTCTCTCTCTCTCAGACAACTCAATGGTTTGAGTTCTCATAAACTCACACCTAAAAATGGATTTTTATGTTAATTACAGTATTAATATATTAATAATCATATAAATATATACATTTAAAATAAATAATTATCAAATTAAAATATTGTTAAAATATAAAAATGTAAAAGGATTGTAATAATTTTATCATTTTAATTGATCATTTTGCTGAATTTTGTTTTTATGTTCATTTTAGTAGTTGAGTCAGAACAGAATTGAATATGAATTCATATATTAATAATCATAAATGTACAAATCTAAATAGTAAAGTATATGCATTTAAAATAATTATAGATCATATAATTTATATAATCATAAATTACACAGCTAAATACTATAATACTAAAACACATACGTTTAAAATAATATAATTTGAAATATTGTTAAATCATAAATTGTATACATTTAACTAGATCTTTTTAATTAATAATTTTTGCCTACTCATAATTAGCTTTAACTTGCAATTTGACACAAGCTTAAATGCAGCTTCACTAGCACTGGCTCACCTAAAAACATGCTCATTATTGTATCAGAATATAATTTAATATGAATTTATATATTAATAATCATATAAATTTAAATATAAATTACCAAAATATATACATTTAAAATAATAAATGAAATTATAAACATTAAAATACTTGTAAATTATATAGATGCATTCATTTTATTTTAATTCATTCATTCATTTTTGCCTACTTATCACAATTAGCAGTTAACATGCAATTAACACGACACAACCTTAAATAGAGCTTTTCTAGCATTGCCCTGTATTTGATGTGGACCACAATTGAAATACTCAGATGAACAGTTACAGATGAAAAAAAGAAAAAAGATTTGCATTCTCACAAGCACACACCTAAAATGTCTTTTATTGTAGTTGCATCAGAATAGAATAGAATTGTAGATGTAGTACATCTTAATGACAGTCTCTGTCTTCTGTCAGGTTTCAGGAGGAGCTGCCGGCAGCGATCTCAGTTCCCTCACACACACTGAGCTCGTCAACATCATGGAGTGGAAACTGACTGTAAGCGCAGCAGAAATAGATTCACACACCCTGCGTAATTAACAAGAAACATTGATGCTGGAAAGAGGCGAGTGGCTCATTGGCTGCATGCGGTGATGTTCCCTCTTATGACAACAGATCAGTTGCGTGCACACAGATACGACAGTATGACAGTGTGTTTCTCTCTTTGATGACTGATGATGGATACTCTCTCCCAGAAAGGGAAGTTCAGGCCTCGTTTGCAGCAGCTGATTGGCTCAAACAGCGAGGAGGCGGTTCCAAACTCGACCAGCAAAGCTTCCGGTTTGATGCCCGACGTCCAAGTGGCGATTACAGAGCTGTGCAAACTCAAAGGTGTCGGGCCTGCGACGGCATCAGGTACACACACACACCCATCAAATCACGCATGCATGCAATGACTGTATTAATATGCATCCAATCTGTCTCTATCAGCCGTGTTGGTGGCAGGAGCTCCGGGTGAAGTGGCCTTCATGGCTGATGAAGCTGTGGAGAGCATCGCTGAGCTCAGACCGGTCGAGTACACGGCCAAACATTATGCACTTTTCCTCCAGAAAATACTGAACAAAACATCCCAGCTTAATACAGGTAAGAGATTTAAGATGCACGTTGAGTCTAAAGCGCTCTTCATTGGGATCTGACCCTGCTGTCTGCTGTCTCAGTGGACGGCCAGCAGAACTGGACTCCTCACAGGGTGGAGCAGTGTTTATGGGCTTGGGCCGTGGCCAATCAGATTCAGCCCTCATTATTACAGGAGTTCAGTCTGATGGATGCAACACACACTGTGGCCAATCAGAAGCCAGAGAAGAGGAAGACGGCGGATGAAGAGCCCTCGAAGAGACAGAAGACTGAGAGATCTTAAAGAGCAGCACTTCACTGCATTTGAGTATTTATCCGGAGGGCGATTTCAACACATTCCTTTGCAAAAGTATGTATTTTTGAGGTATTACTCCCAAGATCATGAAATGCACTTCACAATTGCTTTTCTGAATTTGTAATTGTTTATGTATAAATGTTTTAATAAAACAAAACTTGTTGTAATAATGAAAAAAAGTTGTAAAAACTGTGTAAATGTTTTTTTTTTCAAGTGTTTGGAATAATTAGGATTTTTTTTTCACTTTTCTGCTCACCAAGGCTGCATTTATTTGACCAAAAATACAGCAAAAACTGTAAAATTTCTAAATATTATTTAAATTTTTTTTATATTTTAATATATTTTAAAATGTAGTTTATTCCTGTGACATAAAGCTGAATTTACAGTCTTCAGTGTCACATGATTCTTCAGAAATCATTCTAATATGCTGATTTTCTGCTCAAGAAACATTTATTATTATTATCAATATTGAAAACAGTTGTGCTGCTTCATATTTTTCTAGCATTTAATATTTTTAAACTGTGATACCCCAAACTTTTAGTAGTTTAAGATATGGGGTAAGAAAAAAAGAAACTGATACTTTTATTCAGCAAGGATGCATTAAAGACATTTAAAATGATACAAAAGATTTCTATTTCAAATAAATGCTGTTTTGAACTTTCTATTCTTAAAAAAATCTGGACAAAAAATGTTTCCACAGAAACATTAAGCAGCACAACATTAAACAGTTTTCAACGCTGAAGTAAACAAAGTACATATAAATAAAATTTTATGATTAATTTTAATTACCATCAATTTATACTGCTGCTACTGCATGGGCAATTTGTAAAAAATAATAATAATAATTTAAAAATACATTTAATTAAAAAATTATATTTTCTTTAATTTATAAAAAAACAAAAATTTTCATACTTTGTACCTCTTCTGTGAAAAGTATTGCGGGCACTGACACACACACACACACACACACGTGTCTCCTCACAGTATGGTCTTTATTTCATACAGCTGAGAAATGAAAGCAAACACAAAACAATACAAAATAAAACTACAAAAACAAAATTGCCTCGAGTCCCAATACATCATGAAATGATAAAGAATTTGATAGAAACTATCATTATTTACATCTCTTTTTTTATCATCATCTGATCCAGAGAAAACTATTAGCCTTATAGTATATTTTCAGTTTTAACTTTTTT